GGACCCTGTGGCGGCCACATGCCACACACGATGGAGCAAACTTTCTGCCTGCCATCCAGTCGATTCCAACTCACGGTGACCCTCTCAGACAGAGTAGAACTGCCCCTGTGAGTTTCTGAGACTGTAACCCTTTACTGGAGTAGAAAGCCTCATCTTTCTCCCACGGAGTTGATGATGGTTTTGAACCGCTGACCTGGGAATCAGCAGCCCACTGCATAACCACTACACCGCCACCAGGGCTCCTGGGGGAAGCTTTACAGATGGGAAGACTGAGGGCCGGAGTAAGAAATGACTTGATCACATCATATAGCGAGAGAGAGGCCGAGCGGTCCCCACCAGCTGCAATCCCAAGCCAGTGCTCTGGGCTCTTTGGGAATCCAGGCGTGCCTGGTTTGACCGCGCTTCTCTCCGGTGCGCACCACGGAGGCTGTGTTCTCTACTAGCGGCAGTGCTGCGGCTTTGCCCAGCACATGTGGGCACCGCCGTTCCAATGGCAGGTGCTCACTTCCCTTCTCACTGTGTTTTGAACTACCCCACCTTGCTGCTCCTGCTGCACCCTTTCAGGACTGTACACGTACAAACTGGGCTGCTGGCTGCGAAGTCAGTAGTTCGAACCGGCCAGACCCTCCGTGGGACGAAGATGAGGCTGCATGCGTCTATCAAGATTTACAGCTCCAGAAACTCACAGGGCACTCACATTCTTGCCTAGAGCATGGATGAGCTGCAAACCAATGAGTGTGTGCACCGTAGTGTCAGGTGTGTGGCGATCCATCCTGAAAACACCTGAACGCTCGTGAGACTGATGACATGCTGACGCGGAACCTTGGAGTAGGCCCGGCTGGTAGAAACGGGGCTCCCAGAGACTTGCCCCCAGATTTGCTCCTTTGTTCTTGTAGTCAGGTGTTCTGAGTCACCCCGGACACCGCCTAGTCCTGCTCCAGCCTCTCCCGGTTGTTCCGTTGTCTGAGCCAATTGCTGGAGCGGCTCTCAGTCCATCTTGTTGAGGGGCTTCCTCTCTCTCGCTGCCCCTCCACTTTACCAAGCAGGGTGTCCTTCTCCAGGGACTGCGCTCTCCTGACAACGTCCAAAGTACCTGGGGTGGAGTCTCGCCATCCTAGCCTCTAAGGAGCTCTCTTGGCTGTACTTCTTCCCTGACAGATGGCTTTGTTCTGTTGGCCGTCCGTGGTACATTCAATATTCTCCACCAGCACCACAGTTCCAACTGCATTGATTATTCTTCGTCCAAGCGTCACATGCTCCGTAGGCTGCCCCAGAAACTCACTCATGACCACAGAGTCCATTCTGACTCATAGCAACCCCATAGGAGGGAGGAGAAGTGGGTTTCCCAGACTCACTCTTGATGGGAGCGGGTAGCCTCCTCTTTCCTCCAAGGGGCAGCTGGTGGTTTCAAACCGCCGACTTAGTGATAATCACTGTGCCACCAGGGCTCTGCCCTTCACTCTCTAGGATAGATGTTTCAGAAGTGAGAGCCTCCTTCACTGTAAGAGAAGACAGCCCTTGTGTTCAATTGCCCACCCTGTGGTTGCTGTGTGGGGGTGACCTTCTTTGCCCCCATCATCGCCAACAGTGGATCTGAGAGGTGTGGCGATGACCTGGCCCACTGTTGTCTCACGGTCTCCAGTGAGTGTCTCGGCATGTCCCTAGCTGATTGCTCTCTGGAACGTAGCTCTTGAGGGTGGGCTCAGATTTGTTTTTGGTAATTGCCCCATCTGGTCTTCAGGGCGTCCTTTCCACTTGCCCTAGCTAGGTCTTTGTGTACCGTAGCTACTAATCCTTCTCTTTGTTGCGCCCCGCCCCATCCTTCTGTGGATCAGGTTTCTGATGAGACTGTTTTTTCGGAATCACGTTGCCAGGCTTTTCTCCCAAGGTGCCCCTGGGTGGGCTCGAACCGCTGATCTTTCGTCTGGCCGAGCCTGTTAGCCCTTTGACCCCCCTGGGGCTCCAGCCATTTAAAAGCCAATTTACACTTTCAAGAGCTGCGTGGACACAGAGGGCGTGCTTGCTAAGCTGAACCAGCCTGTGGTACCCCCCTGGGCCTTGAGGCCTCACTCTGCATCTGTGTCCATTGGTAAGGGGTGTGAACCAGGCAGGTGAACCCCCTGCTTTGCAGACTCAGTGCAGGAACAGGGCTGAGGCCACTCAGCGGGGGCAGAGGTCCAACATCCACCCCATGTGCCCAGAAGGTGTGAGGACCCCGTGGAGTCTGAAGTTCCACCAGCCGCCCACCTCCCATGCTGCAGGCAGGGTTGACAGTGCCAGGGCACTGGGTTTCTGGAAGGTTCTCTGGGAAATGCAGGCGAGGTGTCCCACGGGCCAGGGTCTCGGGACCTCAAAGGCGCTGAATTAGCAAGGCCAGCAGACCTTGGCTTTTCAGTCCCCTGCCTCCGGACTGGCAACTGCCCCGGAATGTTTGAGACTATAAGGCTGACTTTGTTTTCGGAATGTCCCGTAACATAGAGACAGGCTTGTGGGGCTGGTTATCTTCTGGGGAGCAAGCTGGAGCCTGAGACTGGCAGAGAGGTACATGTAGGACCTGGTCTTACTGGGGCCAAGGCATGTGGTGGCACAGGGGGGCTTTTGGGTGAGAGGTGACTCAGCTCTGTTGATACCTTGCATCTGAGGTGCCTCCCTGTCAGGTCCCGTGGGCTCACGGGCTGCATCCCAGAGGCTGGCAGGGGCTGGCGTGCTTGCTCCCCAGCTGCCGGCACCTCCATGGCATCCTGGGCATCTCAGAATGCCAGCTCCCACTTGGCAAAGCGGCGGTGGGGCCCTCTAATGGGAAAGCATCAGAATGAGCCCCAAATCCCCACGCCCGCTTCGGTACTCAGTCCCTACACCAGCCAGACAGGCCGCTACTCTTTTTCTCACTTGCCGCCCAGGACTAGGTCAAGTTAGAAGCCCTTCAGGCTGCCCGCCGGGCCCCAGGTGCCAGCCTTGGAGGGACTGCCCTCCTGGCCTGCTGGTGACACATTCTGGGCTTTCTCTCCTCCTTCAGGGTGCTGCCTGTAAGGCCAGGAGCAGCAGTCCACCCCTAGCGCCCTCCCTCTGGTTTGGCCTGGCTCCGAAGTTCTCTGACACCACTCCCAGAACTGGTGGGAAGCCCCAGCCTTGTGCCTCCAGTTTGTTGAAGGAAAGAGCACAAAGGAAGAGCTCCCCAGGGAGGCCTGAGGCCTTCCATGTCCCAGAGCAGGAACCCTGGTGGCACGGTGGGTTATGCATCGGGCTGCTAACCATAAGGTCAGAAGTTCAAAACTACCAGCCACTCTGAAGGAGAAAGAGGAGGCTTTCTACAGCCTCCGGAATCCATGGGGCAGTTCTACTCTGTCCTGTATGAGTGAGGATACCGGAGTGTGGCCGGCCAGGAATCCCAGGGAGTCTCTGGGCTCAGAACTTGTCGGGGAGGCAGAGGGGTTTCATTATGTAATGCCCTCCCTTCTGAGGTCAATGCCATCAGGTGACCATGAGAGATTACTGGGGGGGTCTCTCTGGCCCGATCACCTGACCACCTGACCGGACATTGCCGTTGAGTTGTGGTTTGTGGTTTGCAAAGGCACTTACATCCCAAGGATTGTTTGCTTTGTTTTTGCTTTTTAAGAGATCCTGTCTCAGGAACTGAGCACAAAGGGTGATTTCTGTGGATGTTACTTGGATAGGTCCTGGGTGGTATAGGGGTTATAAGCTGGTTGCAATCCAAAAGGCCAGCAGTTCAAAACCACCAGCCACCCTTCGGGAGAAAGACAAGGCTTTCTACTCTGATAGAGAGCTACAGCTTCAGAAAACCTTCAAGGCCAGTTGTACCTGTCCCGTAGGGCCGCTGTGAGTTGGAAAGGACTGGGCGGCAGTGAGAGTTTGGGAGGTGGCTAAGCCAGGCTGTTCCATATCGAGTTTTCTAACGGCCAAGGTCTGGGGGTGCCCTGGGGGGCTGGCCTGACACCTTCTCTTGTCACCACTCACCTCTTACCTGGTTCTAATCTGCCCAGCCAGAGTCGCTGACCCCTAGCTTGGGGTCTTGGCACCCTACCCAGGGGCTGGTGAGGATCCCATTTCCCTAGTGGACACCTGATGGAAGTAGGCTTTTTCAACATTTTCCCCTTTTTCTCCCAAGAAATTCCGATCCCAGGCAAGTGCTGCTGGAAGCACCTCAGATTCATGGTGCCTTTGGTTTTGAATTAAATTGTGGTCCTTGTTCTTCAGAAAACGCTTACTATTGCCAGATTGTGCGTGACTCCCCACATCCAGTTACTCGACCCCACGAGGGGTCACGACCGCCATTTGAGGGGGGTTGACAAAGCACAGTCAGTCCACTCTGTGGTCCCAGAGGGAGCTCCAGATGCCTGCACCCTGCCCTGACCCCCGAGAGCCAGCCCGCAGCACCCAGGTGCCATCCTGAGCTCTGGGCTAGCTCTTCACTTGCCACCTTGCTCCTTCCAGCCTGGCTCACCCTGGCCCTCTTGCCTCCCCTCTCCTCAGGCCAGAGCAGGGTCGTTTCAGGGTGCTGGGCGAGTCTCTGCGCTGCCCACCTGTTGGGCTTAGTTGTGAGGAAGGAGCAGGGTGAAGCACCGAATGTGCCTGAAAGTGGTGGCTGTGGTGGCCCTCTGTGGGCTGCCCTCCTGGTGGTCCATCTGGGAGGCCTGACTTTGGGGCAGGTAAAGCAGAGTCTGCTGTGGTGGGTGGGCCTGGGCTTGGGGGCGGAGCCTGTTTGCAGGTGGACCTGGACCTGGGGTGGGGACTTGGTATGGGTCCCACCTGTCTGTTTCGTGAGAAAGGTCATTATCTCCATGGACCTGTTTCCCTGCCAGGTAAATCTGCTGCAAGCCCCCATGGTCATCCTGGGACAGGCCCCCTGCCCCGAGATGCAGGGCCACTGGGCAGAGTCAGCCCTTGCCCTTTGACCTGTCTCCTTTGCTTGCCTCGAGTTTGCGGCCTCAGGAAACACCTCTCAGTGGCAAAGTCTGACCGATGCCCCCTGGTCTCCACAGGCAGGTGATAAGCAGGGACGACATGAATCGGGACATGCACGACGTGGACCTCGCCGAGGTGAAGCCTTTGGTGGAAAAAGGGGAGGTGAGTGGAGACGCTCCTGTCATGTCCCGTCATAACACACGTGCGTGCACATGCGCACGCTCACACACATGCGCCCACCGTGCCCTTGTTTCCAGTAGGTCCCCTTGACCAGGACTGCAGAAGAGGAAGGGCAGGTGCCAGTCCAAGTCTTGGCCTGCCCTTTTGAACCAAGAGACTGCGGGCCGGTTCCCTGAGCCTCCTCTCTGGCTCTGCCCCTCCCCTCACTGCTCAGGCTTATAATGGGAGGATGTCGGACTAGAAGTCCTCCAAGCCCCAGCCTCCTCTGGATGGTACCAGGACAGGCCACATGCAACCCGCTTCCCACGGGCCTCCTCACCCATAGTGTAGTGGTTGAGGCCAGACCACCCGGGTGCACATCCTGCCTGCGACCCCTGACCCCAACCCTTCAGCTTCACACAGCTGTCTCCAACAACAAGAGAGCATCCAAGCTGGAACTGGTGAGGCAAGCAAGGTGCCCAACCCAAGCTGTCCATGGGCAGTTCACGCCTGACTGGACCTCAATCCAAAACCTGGGCAGCCACGGGAAAAGGTATATGGAGGACCGTGACATGGCCAGGGAGGGCAGCTCTCAAGCTGGTGGTCATCTTAGACCATCTGATCTTTGTTCCCCACCTTCGAGGCTGGAAAAGACCGGCCCAAGTGTCCGCTCTGCTAACACGGGGCTGCCATTCTCAGCTCACCGTCTCTGTTGGTATTCGAGGGACCCCACAGGTGCAGAGATGGACTCGGGCCTCAGAGAAGGGCCCGTCCCAGGAAACGGGACCGCTGACTAGCCTTCTTGTCTCTTCACAGACCATCACCGGCCTCCTGCAGGAGTTCGACGTGCAGGCAAGTAAAGGATGTGGTCTCTCTCCCCCAACTCCCCGGCCCGCCCCCCCCCCCCCCCCCTCCCCCCCCCTCCTCCCCCCCGCCTTAAAGAACCCAACGCCGAAACCCCTGGGGACAGGGCGGGAGGAAGTGGTCTCAGTTGGTTTCCCACAGCCCAGGCGGAACAGTGTCAGTTGTTGTGGGTTTGGGCCAGAAAGCAGGAGCTGGCCAGTCGCTGGACAAGCAACACCAAGAACCAGCCCCCCAGGGCCCTTCCGCATGGCCAAGTGGGTCTGCTTGGAACCCCGTGGGGGAGCAGAGGAGGGAGGGAAGTGGGGTGATCACTCTGTACCACCTCCTAACGGCAGTCCCCAGATTGGGGGCCAGTCCCTGTTTCCCCCCACCTTTTAGTCAAACATGGACTTAGGAAGTAACCGTTAGAGAAATGTCCATAGATAGGGTGACTTTCTGTTCATGGACCTGCGGGGGCAGGGGGAGGCTGCCAGCAGGCAGAACAGAAGTCCCCAAGGTCCTGCTTTGTGCCAGGCCAGGCTGGCTCTCCAGTAGAGTGTTCACAGGGACCCTGGACTCTGGCTCAGCGGGACTAGACTGGCGTGGCCACGGTGAGCCTGCAGTGCCGTGTTTCCTGGCTCCCTTGGCTGCCCATCACCACGAGCTCCATCTTGCCAGTTCTTTGGGCATTGAGTCTGTGATGTGGGAGCCGTTTCATTTTGTGAATTGGAAGCGGCCTGTGCTACTTCTTGACAAGTATTTGGCATGTTAGCCTTTTCCCTAACCCAGGCAGACCCTCCCTCCCACCCCCAAAGTGGTGAACATTTTCAGATATAGTATAGCGCAGCAGGGGGGAGCCTGGGACACAGGGCAGCTGGGGCAGATGGCTCTGTGGCCTTATCTTGTTCCCCTGGGTGCTGTGTGCCTTGGCTCCAGTGAGGCTATAGGGTCCATAAATGGGGGCTGGGCTTGAGTGGTCTTGCCAGCTGCTCTCAGGCCCCTGCACCACACCTGTCCAGAAAAGTTCTGGAGCCTACAGAATATGGGCTGGACAGGGCAGCCCTGAGATGCATTAGCCAGGCTCAGCTGAAGGTTCTGTGTGCTGATGTTTGCCAACTTGGTGAGGAGAAAATGTGGGGGAGTATTTGGGATTCCAGCTTATTTTCTTTGGCCAGCATCCCAGGACTATGCAAGTTGGCAGATGTAACTAGATCTCCTGGTCCAGGTTGAAAAAACACAGCACAACAAAAACTCGCTGCCATCAAGTTGATTCTGACTCAGGGAAACTCTGCATGGGGTTTCTGAGGCCGCACATTTTTATGAGAACAGACATCCTCGTCTTTCTCCTGAGGTGCGGCTGGTGGGTTTGAACCTCCGACTTTGAGGTTAGCAGCCCAGTGCTTGCCAGTCAGTGCCGTCAGGGCTTCAGGTAGCGAGGTTGAAAGCCCGAGAGAAGAAAGTTGCATCTGAGGCCGCAGAAGGGCATGGAGACGGGGAAGGGGTGTAGGTTTGTCCACCATGGTCTCTGCTTCCTGGTCAGGGCGTGGTCAGGTTCTGTGATGTTCAGGACCTGCAAGAGGCGGAGGTACAATCCTCCTCCCTGTGGGAGGAGCCAGGACCATTTCTGGAAGTGCAGACACCACCCTGTCTGTCAGGGAGGCTGCTGTGAAGCTGAACACGTTTCGGCCTGGGATGCAGCCTGGGATGGACCAGGAGGACAGGCCAGGCAGTCCTACTGGAACTCTTCACAGTGGCCATCTCTGGGGCCCAGGAACACCCCCAAGCCCTCTGACATCTTCTCCCCATGACCCTGAAGGGCAGGGGTGGGGAACCTTTCTTCTGCCAAGGGATGTTTAGAGATTTATAAACATCCTTCTTGGGTCAGATTATCCAAACATTTAATTAACTCAAGCATTGGCCTTCAATCCACAAGGTCAACAGTTCAAAACCACCAGCTGCTCCTCAGGAGAAAGACGAGGCTTTCAACTCCCGTCAAGAGTGACAGTCTTGGAAACCCACAGGGGCAGTTCTGCCTTGTCCTGTCGGGTCACTATGAGTTGACAGCGAGCTCCTATGCTGGCTCGAACTGCTTCTCTTTGGCCAGCTGTGCCATGCTAGCTGGTATTGATGACTTCGAGGGTCTGCTGTGGTCTGCAGGCTGGATGGGGCCCATCCCTGCTGTTGGGGGGCACCTGAGACTATCCTCATCGTAGACTGCAGATGCAAGCCTAGAGAGGTTGGGCACCACAGGGCGCAGGAAGGATGACAAAGCCGGGCTCGGTCCTCACATCCCTGGTTGAAGGGCTGCTGCCCAAACTCCCTCCCTCCGAGGGCCGCCTTGCCTACTGGATTCATTTGAGCTGAGCACTGCTTCTTCTTTGGGTGACTGATCTGATTTGGTTTCCATGGGAAGCTGTGTTTGTGTGCTCCCTTGGGCTCTCTGGGAAGGAGCTGATGTCACCCCGGGCGGAGCGGGGGCTGGTGGGCATGGCCTAGCCTCTGAGGTCTCCTCCCCACTGCCAGCCTGGTGTGGTTCAGCTGTGGGGCATTTTCCCTGCCCCTGGATGCAGACCAGCACTTGGGAGATGCCAACAGTACCCTTTCTCTGATTGCTTCTTGTTCCCATGCCCGCCTGGCTGAAAGTGGGCAGAGCCCAGAGGCTCAGAGGTCTTCAGCTGGCCACTTCCTACTACCCCTGCCCCGCCTTGCCCCACTTTCCAGCAAAGCTGACGGGGGTGGGGTGGGGTGTTGGAGGGGGTCTTATAGCATTCCAGGGACAGATGGCGTGGCCTCTCATCTGGGTCAGCATGACAGGAGACCTTGGGAAATGAGCCTGGTTGGTGCCCTCCATGGGAGCAGGGAGGGCTAGAGGGACGCTCACTGCCCCAGGGGCAGGGGGGGTGTCCCCAGGGACCCATCTGAACTGGGTCAGGCCCCTATGTTGACACTGCTACAGAAAGGGAGCAGCCAGGCAGACGCCCTGCTGAATTCCTCCTCTTCTTACATCTCGATGCGGAGACCCCAGAAAAGAGGCCCGAGAAATGAGAGGAGTGGCCACAGGTCCAGTCTGACCTCCAAGATCTTCCAAGATCAGTGGTTCTCAACCTGCCTAATGCCACCACCCTTTCATACAGCCCTCATGTTGTGGTGACCCAACCATACAGTTATTTTCATTGCTACTTCATAACTATAATGTTGCTACTGGTATGAATCGGGTGACCCTGTGAAAGGGTCATTGGACCCCCAAAGGGGTTGTGACCCACAGGTTGAGAACCGCTGCTCTAGATCTTGCAGGGGAGGGGGGCGTGGTGAGGGCGGGGGCATGTGGCAACCCCAGGGCTGCGGTGTAGTTCCTTAGTTCCCAGGGGCACCCACCCAGCAGCAATGTGGGGGAAGACCTGGGGATCGGATTTCATAAACCTGGCGGCCGAGAAGATCCCAAGGGTGGGCGGGGGCAGCATTGTGCTGTCTCCCGGGGCTATGCGGAGTCAATAACAACTCATTCATGCCCACCAACAAGCCACAGCCACATCCTGGCATGCAGCCTCTGTAGTGGGCTTTTATCATTGCCCGCCCCGCCCCCCCTCCCAACTCTGGGCCCCCTCCTGGCTGGGTGGTGTTTGCTCAGGAGAAACAGTGTGTGTCCTGCTGTGTGCCTCGCACACACACTCAGCTCTAGGGTCAAAAGCACAGACACGCCTCCCCCTGCCCCCCACTCCTGCCCCCTGTAAGGATAGACCATAGCCAAGATGGGAGTGGGGGAGAACTCTTTGTGTTCCACAAAGGTATTGGTTGGGCTGGGAGCTGGCTTCTGCTGCCTCATAGGCTAGGTCTGAGGCTACGTCCGATGCGCCAAGACGGAGGGCTACTCTCTAGAGTGTTCCCCCACCCCCTCTGGCCACAGGAAGCTGGACTCTAAGTGGCCGGCTTATAGTCTCTAACTGTGTCATCCTCTTACCAGTCAAGTCTTTTATTGTGTCCCGAGCCTGCTGGGAGTGGGGGATTAAGGAGGAGGCTGAGGCATCTGGTCCCCAGAGGCCTGGGTCAGGCAAGCTGGCCCTTGTGGCTTCGTGGTGATCGTCTTTAATTCGCTGTGGAGCGGCCCGCTGCTGCCTGCGGTTCGACGTCTAGCCGCAGCCTTTCTGGAGCAGGGGGGCTTGCTGGTCTCCTCCGAGGACAGACCTTCTCTAGCACAAAGAGTGTTCGAGAAGGCTTAGCACTTGGACAAGGTTACACGGCCAGTTTATCAATAGGCTTGAGTAAGGTCGCTCCACCCACTGTACCTATTGAGTCCATTCTGACTCCTGTTCCCCCCACCGCCCCGTTGTGTTTCAGAGTAGAATGATGTACCCTAGAACTTTCAGTAGGAGCCCTGGAGGCGTAGAGGTTATGCATTGGGCTGCAACCCTCAAAGTTAGCAGTTTGAAACCACCAGCTGCTCCTCCGGAGAAAGAGGAGGTTTTGTGTGCTCCTGTAAAGAGTTACAGTCTCATAGCCCACAGGGACTGTTCTACCCCCATCCTATAGGGTCACTGTGAGTTGGCATCAATTTTGCAGAAGTGGGTCACCAGGCTTTTCCTCAGAGGGGCCTCTGGGTAGACTCGAACAACCAGTCTTTCAATTACCCTGTGGGCCTGCTTTATCCAGGGACCCCTGATGACCCTAAGAGGTACGTGTTTGCTCCTCATGAGCCCGGAAGCCCCAGTACAACTGGCCATGGCTGTCCCCAGCCCCAGATTCCTGCCGGCTCACAGTCAGCCTGAGCCTGGAGCTGTTGTCCTCACTGTTGTGCGATGACCGCTGGAGCCCCAAGCATCTTAGCCATGTTCCAGGTGGATGCCAGGGGGGGAGACGGAAATCAAAAAAAGCCCGGTGTGGCCCTTTAAAGAAATCCTCCTTCAAGGCCTGCATCTCCCACTCGTCCTGGGCTGCAAGGAAGTCTGGGAAGGGAGAATTTAGTACTTGGCTTAAAATTAGATTTTTGTGTTTTGAAAAGAAGAAGAGAAGAGGACACGTTTGGGACGTAGCCCAGGAGTCTGCCATGTCAACAAAAGCAACGGCAAGAAAACACTTCCCGCCTCCCAGCATCCCTTGCAGGACCGAGGGGAACCGTCCCAGAGGGTTTCCAAAACTGTAAATCTTTATGGGAGCAGACCGCCGCCCCTTTCTCCCTTGGAGCCACTGAGGGGGTTCGAACCGCTGACCTGGAGCAGACAACAAGCCGCTGGGCTGCTGTAGTCCAGGAGAAAGCTCCCAGGCCGCCAGGAGCGATTGACGTTGGTGGCAGTCGGCCGTTTTCCCAGCTGGAAACCTAGTGGACTGTGTGTCAGAAAGCCTCTCCTGAGGCGGACACTGTGGCTGCAGGGCCAACCTCTCCCCAGGCGGTCACTCAGCAGGTGTGTGGTTATCCCTGGCCGTACTATAGACAAGTGAACCTGGACTCCGTGAGGGATGGGCCTCCCCGGGAAAGCGCTGTCTGAGGGGCAGCAAGAAAGCTAGGGTCACAGACCACTCTCGCCCCCCTCCGAGGTTGGTTCACCCTTTCTTGATGCCACACCTCCCACGGAGTGTAGAGCAGGGGGCTGAAGACCACAGGCTTTTGCTCTCTGCTGCCCGCCTTCAGATCCTGCTCTGCCAGTCCAGCTGTGTGGCCTTGGGCAGGTTCCTGAGCCTCTCTGGGCCTGTTTCCTCACCTGTAACGATGGACAGAAGTGACCTCATGGGGGTTGTGTGTGCGTCTAAAGAGAGAACAGACTGCTGCCAGCTGGCCCCATTAACACCTTCTGCCCCAAATGCTGACCACCAGCCCCCTCGCTGCCTGGGACTAGGTTCCAGATTGACCCACGGGGGTGCAGAATGCAGAAGAAGGGCCTGAACCCTGGGTTTACAGGCCAGTGGGGAGCCCTGCCTGGCAGGTGGGCATCTATTTTTTGGAGAGTGCCAGCGTGGTCAGCTGGGGTGATGGGGCCAGCGAGCCTGAGGGAACAATAGAGACTGTGGAGCCCACAATAGACTGTTGTTTCTGCCGAGAGTCAGAGCCAGGCTGGCCCTGCAGATGACTGGGGGCCCAAGGGGAGCTGATCCAGCACCCCGACTTCTGGATTTTTCCAGCACTTGCTAAGGGGAAGGAGGGTGGGGCAGGCCGGAGCCAGCTCTGTGTCCCAGGGATCTTGTTCTGTGATTAGACCTCCACGCTGGGGTTGGTTCGGCCCTTGACCATGGGAAGGGGCACTAGTAGTCCCAGGGGAGGCCAGAGATGCACCCTTCTGAGTGCTCCACTTCCCATGTGCCCCCGGGGAGTTTCAGGTGCTTGCTGTAGGGGTCCTCAGAGTGAGGGCAGGGGTCCCTGGCAGACTCTGGTTGAAAGCTGGCTGCTGCTCTTCCACAACCCGAAGGAGGCACCTGGAAAGTGGGAAGGCACCTGTGTGATGGGAGCCAGGCAGGTAGGTGGGGGAGGGGGGGTGGTCCTATGTGATGACAGCCAGGCAGGTAGGCTGTGGGGCAGGTAGGCATAGCGAGGATTGGTCCTGTGTGATGAGCAGGTGGGCAGGGTGGGGGCTGGTCCTGTGTGATGACAGCCAGGCAAGGCTGCTGAGTAGGGTCCCCTACCCCCACCTCCACACCACCTTCATGGAGGTTGCCAGCATTGGCCTTCTCCCTGTGTAGGCGGCAGTGACTGGCAGAGCTTACATTCTCGCTGGCTTCTGGGTTCCGGCTCCACATCTCCCAGAGCCTTCCCCACTTTCTCAGATGCCTCAGTCACTCTTTGTGAAAGAAATGTCGCATGCTGACCCACGGTGACCTCCTGAGGTGAATGCTCAGAAGCCATTAGAGCCAGTGAGGAGGGTGGGAGTGGGTGCCACCTCCCAGCTCCTGAACGGGGGTCCCTGCGAAGCTGGCTGCAGCTGCCACTCCGGCTTGTGACGACCCCGTGGCTGTCCGAGTAGAAGTACCCTTGCTAGGGTTTCCAAAGACTGAGAATTCAGAAGTCTGTTTTCTGGACTCCTCCCGGAGGATTCGAAGCTCTAACTTTGGTTAGCAGCCAAGTGTGTTAAGGAACCCGGGACCCGAGCGAGTGGCTGACTTGATTACCATGTCTGCCAACTGGCGTCACCTACCCTTGGCAGGACTCTCACGACGGCTGGGAGGGACGGTGACACACCTGGGTGGAAGGTGAAAGGGTATGTAAAGGCAGGTCCCAGCAGCTTCTCCCACATGAGCCCGGGGGGAGGGCCAGGAGGGCGCCACCATAGAGGGGAGGTCTCTGCCATCAAGCGTGGAAAGAGCTGGATGAGTATTCTTGCTCCTGGATGCTCCCAGGGACCTCGAGAGACACAGGTGTGGGGGAGTGGGTGGGGTCTGAAGGTACAGGTGTGCCTGCAGGTGATGGGCTCAGAAGGGGTGGCATGGCAGTGAGGACGTGGTCCCTGGTGAGGCGGCGTGTCGGATGGAAGGAACTGAGGATTCTGGCTTCTCGGTCCTTGAAAAGTCACCCAAGAGAGGCCAGCACCGTGGAACAGAGACAGGAGTGCCTGGCTGAGTGACCAGCTCAGCCTCACAGCCCGGGGAACTGGCCTTGGCCAGGAAAAGCCCTTCTGGGAAGGAGGGCAGGAGAGAAGGAGGATGTGGTGTCAGGAGTCTTCACGCCAGGAGTGGGTTACGTCACTCAGCCTGCATGAAGTGGGAGTGTGGTACCTGTTGGCCCCTGAAACCCCCAGGTGTTGGTTGGAATCACGACCAAGTCCTCTTTTCTTGGTTTTTCTCTCTCTGAGCTGGTATTTTCAGACAGGCCCGTGCCCCATGAGCACAAAGTAGCTGCTGCTGTTGCTCCAGCCCTCCTTCCCGGCTAGATTGAGCATCGTCTACTCCTGGACAGCTAGAAGCGCATCTGGGTGGGCTCTGGCTGCCATAGCCCATCTCACGAGCCCTCCCCTGACCCTGTAGATCTGTGGGTGATCAGCCCCGGGGAGCATGTGGAAGGATCAAGGGGCTTGTGGGACCGAGGGAGGCAGTGAGGCAGATTGCAAAGGAAAGAGGCAGTGTTCTTGGACCAGGGAATGGATTCTGGGCAGCCTCGACCCAACAAATGTCCCTCGCAGTTAGGGTCCCTTGTGGGACAGGCAAGGCACAGGGCAGGGCATGCATGATAGGCCAGATGGAGAAGATGGCCCTGTGCAGAGAGGGCTCCCGGGTTGGGCCTGCCTTGTGAGTCCAAGCTGGGTGCCTGCCTTCTGCTTCCTGGTGAAACTCTTCTGCCTGGTCCCGGGAGCTCTCCCCATGGTCAATGAGAAGTGTACCCCGAGTGCTCTGGGAGCCCAGCAAGAGCACACTGACCTGTCCCCACAGCCCTTCCAACAAGGCCCGTCTCTCTGTAGGAGCAGGACCTGGAGACTTTATTCGGCACCATTCACGTCACGCTGTGTGGGACCCCCAAGGGGAACCGGCCCGTCATCCTCACGTACCATGACATCGGCATGAACCGTGAGTTCCCAGGAGACACGGCCCCTGGTTGGAGGGGATGTGGGGGCAGGGGGCAGATGGAGAAGGGGTGTGAAGGGAGTGGCAGGGGTAGGCTGGGGAGTGTGAGATTGAAGGATTGCATGGGGAGGGGGGTGGAGGGGGTGGCAGCGAGGTTCACTAGCTGCCTCATCTGGGAGGAGTCCCAGCCACCGATGGGATGAATCAGGAACGTCATGTCCGGAGGCTTAGAACTGTCTGTGTGTCAGAGGCTGTCTGTCCATGAGAGGGGTTGTGTGTTTTTGTTTAAATTAAGTAAGCAGCTCGGTGACTTCAGGGTGTTCACAGGGCAGTCAACCACTGCTGTCAGCTTCAGGACATTGTCAACACTCCACACAGAAACCCTCCGATGTGTAGGTGCCACCTGACACCTCCCCATCCCCCCTCCATTCTGGTCACCGTGGGCCACTGCCTGGACGTATCCATTGTGTGGCAGCACGCTGCAGAGCTGAGTCGTGTGCATCCTTCCATCAGTGTGGCCGCAGCGGCTTCTACCTCTCGTTGTTAGGAATAAGGCTGCCGTGAACATTTGGCAGCAAATCCTTAAGATGATCCAGGTGTTCTCCCGTACCCCCTTTCCTGCTTTTTAGAATCCATCACAGAGTGAAATCCCAGACATCAAGCCATTGCCATCGGATCCATTAGGACCCATGGTGACCCTACAGGCTGGAGCAGGACCACCCTAATAGTCCTTATGGGGAGGGTCCCAGCTTCCCCAAGGCCTTCGGGGCCACTATTGACTGGAAGGCCCCCACTGGGAGTCCGACGTCTGGTCCTCGTGTCTGCTGACCACCTCTCCTCATGCACCCACTCCGCTCTATAGTCTGACCTTTATCTCCCGAGAACATGGGGCAGGGCTACAGAGGGGCTGCCCACATTCTCTCCTGTCCATTCCCCTCCCCCTCAACACCCCCCTAAGGAACAAAAGCACAACAACAACAACCAAATCTTGGCTCCCAAGTAACCTCCTGAAGGAGCCTTGGTGGCACAGCTGCTTGAGCATTGGGCTGCTAATGAGAAGGTGGGTGGCTTGAGCTCACCCACCACTCCTCGGCGGAACCAGGAGGCAGGCTGCTTCCGTGAAGATTTGTAGCCTGGGCAGCCCAGGGATAGCTGGGTAGGGGGACCGTGCGAGACTGCTCTCCAGAGAGGGCCGCTGTGAGTGGGTGTAGCATGCTCCCCCTTGTCTCCTCATCCAGACAAAACCTGCTACAACCCCCTCTTCAACTCCGAAGACATGCAGGAGGTCACCCAGCACTTTGCTGTCTGCCACGTGGATGCCCCCGGCCAGCAGGACAGCGCCGCCTCCTTCCCCATGGGGTAAGGGGCGGGGTCCCAGGGAGCCCAGGGGAGGAGGAAAGCCAGGCAGCGTGGGCAACAGTGGAGGCATTAGACTAACTGTGTGGTCATTGTGTGAATGGTGATAAAAAGCTATGTCGCAATGCGTTCCCCAGTTGAAGCTTTCTCGTGTGAATCCTTCATGGATATCAACCATCTGTCAAGGAGCTCCAGTGGCCTAGTGGTTACACGCTGGGCTGTAACCTCAGGGTCAGCAATTCAAAGCTATCAGCTGCTCCGAGGGAGAAAGATGAGGCTTTTTACTCCTTAAGAGAGTTACCAGGGCCAGTTCTACCCTGTCCTGTAGGGTCTCTGTGAGTTGGACTTGCCCTGATGGCAGTGTTGTGGGGATCATCTCCACCAGGCTGTGGGGCCATCTCTCTCTTGTTTCCAAGCATCCCGCTGTCCCACCTGCCGCTACCACGCCAGCTTACTCCAGTTAGAGGAGAACCGAGCTCTACAGGTGTCCTCTTACAGCCAAGAGTGCCAGGCCTTTCTCCAGTGGACCCACTGTGTGGATTCAAGCTGCCAGGTTTACCTTTAGCAGCTGAGGGAGTGCTGGCTATGTGTGCCACTCAGGGAAACCCCTGTCCCCCAGGCTGCCTTCATTAATAGGGGCCTGTGAGCGGGCGATTACAGGAGGCTTTCCCCAGCACGCTTTGTGCACCTGCTTTGCTAAAACAGGGTTCAAAGTCCCACGGGAAAGTCCCTTGCTGTGACCTTGGGCACAAGGACAATGTTGTTTGGGTTCCTCCTGAGGAGATGGGAAGGGGAGAAAGGGGGAGGGATCCACTGCTGTCAAGTTCATTCTACCTCATAGTGACCCTGTGGGGCCGAGCAGAGATGCCCATGGGGCTCCCAAGGTTATCTTCTTTATCAAGCCAACTGCCGCATCTTCTGCAGAGTAGCTGGTGGGTTTGAACCACTGACTTTTTGATGAATGCCTCATGATTACCTATGTACCACTAGGGCTCCTAAAGAGATTGGGGTGGGGTGGGGCTACCCCCAGGGAGGGCATCAGGGAGAGCTGAAAGAGGGGCCTGCTCTGAGAGCAATGGGGTTGTGAGAAGGAGGGCTTTGAAGTCTCCACCCCACATGAGACCCGGGTTCAAACCCCCGTAGAGCCACACCACTCCTGGCTCAGCCTCAGTGGAATTTGTAGTCTGTACTAGGAAGGACGAGTGACCGGCTGATATTTCGGGGATTATGGGAGCTTAGTGTAGGTCTAGGAATCCATCTTCAGCAAGAAAATCCAGTTGCCATTGGACTGGCCCCCACCTCAAGAAGCCCTGTATAAAAGGTTGGACAGAGCTGGGCACACAGGGGTCTTCAGTGGCTGATCCTTGTGAGAGTTGATTGTCAGGGCTTTCTCCCAAGGTGCTCTGGGTGGGATTGAACCTCCAACTTGCTGGTGAGAAGCTAAACACATGAACTCTGCACCACCCAGAAACCTCAATCAATAAACAATAAAAGGAGGAGAGTTAGGGATGGAGTGGGGGTATGTCACCTCCTGGTGGGGGCTTCCTGGGTGCTGTAGTACTGTGGATGCTGTGGGTGCCTGAGTGAGGGTCTCAAGGGAGACTAGACTTGGAGTCCGGGTGCAGGTGGGGTTGTTTCATGCTCTCTCCCTTCAGTCCATTTCTGGGTGGACTGTCCACTCCCACCGGGACTTGACTAGCTGATTGCCTCTTTACACCTTCCCTAGGTACGTGTACCCCTCCATGGACCAGCTGGCTGAAATGCTTCCTGGAGTCCTCCACCGGTTTGGGTAAGGGTGACTCTCCCATTGGGTAAAGGTGGGGGTGACTTCCTCCACTGAGTAAGGGTGAGGGATGACTTCT